CCTCCACATTTTTAACTCTCAAAAACAAATATGAGGATTATCAGCCCCTTACATGTATTCCATTCCCTTCCAAAAACGAACTCCAAAACACACCCTCGGAGAAACACAAAAATATGACTATTTTTTTATTTTCCGAAAGTAATGATAAAATACGATATTTATACCCTTTAAATATGTTCAAGCCTCAGAGTTCAAACTTGAGTACGAACTTGACAATTTAAATAAATCGAGTTTGAACTCGAGCTGAGCTTGGCTCGAGCTCAACTCAAACTCAGTTTGAGCTCAAGTCGACTTTACTAATTAATCTTTATAGGTTTAAATTTGATTAAGATGCTCGAACTTGAGTTTGAATTCAAGCTAAAAATAATATTTATATTTTCCCAAGTTTTAAAATAATATTCATATACTCCCTCTGGTCCTAAATAAACTTCACACTTTGACTTCACACAAATTAAGAAAATAAATTTGACTTTACTGTAGAGTACACTGTTGTGACACTGATTGACACTGTTTTGCACTGTTTTGATGTAGATAATTTGTCATATAAGGAAGGGAGAAGAAGTGTGAAGCTTATTTAGGATCGAAAAGAGTATTAAATAAATAATATCTAATATTTGTACTCAATCATTCTCATTATTTAGTTTCTCTCTTTCACTCACATTTTTACTCCTCATTTTACTATCAATTAAATTTTAAATAAATACGAAGTAATAAAAATCAATAAATAAATTAATATAGATATACAAAAAAATTATCATATTTATTTATTTATATGTTTTTTATTTATTTATTTATTTATTAACTTTTTTACTCATTTATTTACTTTTTTATTTATTTTATTTTATTTAATTATTTATTATTAATTAATTTAATTATTAATTGGTTTATTTAATTATTCAATTATTTAGTTATTCATTTATTTATTTATTAATTTATTTATTTACTTATTTATTTAATTATTTATTTACTTATTTATTTATTTATTTATTTATTTATTTATTTATTTATTTATTATTTATTTATTTATTTATTTATTTATCTATTTATATATATAAAGAGATAAATAAAAAGACCTCTTCCCGTGCAAAGTGCGAATATATGCACTTTTGCGTGTTTCTGTTGTATTTTTTCACGGTAACGAAAAAGTTCAACATATTTACGAAATTGCCACCACGATTTTGGTCAAATTTTATGCATTTTGGCTCATTTTAAGCCATTAGATGTGGAAATGAATGCACAAGATTGATTCTCACTTTGCATGGGAAGAGGTCTTTGTATTTGAACCATCCCCCATATATACACACATATATTCATTTATTTATTCATTCATTCATTTATTTATTCATTTATTTATTGATCTATTTATCTATCTTTTTATTTATTTATTTATTTATTTATTGACTTATTTATTTATTTATTTAGTTATTTAGATCTTATTATATAATTATTTATTTACTTATTTATTTACTTATTTATTTACTTATTTATTTATTAACTTATTTATTTATTTATTTATTTATTTATTTATATATTTATTTATTTATTTATTTATTTATTTATTTAAGTATGTATTTACTGATTTATTTATTGATTTATTTATTTATTTATTTATTATTGCTCACAAGCTCAGAGCTCAAAGGAATCGAGCTTGGCTCTTTTATTTAATGACCAAATTTCATATGAGATTTTTTTGGACGAATAGAAAAGGAAATTGAATATGAGATAATCTTAGCAAGAAGAATGAAAAGTACTATGTGGTAGTGATATTTAGTAAAGAAATAATACCAAGAGATAGGAGCAATGATGTATCTGTCAGAGTCAGTATCATAGGTGTATAACAACCTATTCTTCCAATTGGAATCAATGACGCAAAGACTTCGACGAGCTTCTCTAAGAATTATAGCTGGGCCTTTTGTAGTTTCATGAAAGCGTGCTGGAAGTATTGATCCGGTATCAGTTTTCACCTAACAAAATAAACATCCAATAAGATAAACCGTACTTCCTCCATTCTTTTATTGCCACAGTTCTGACTTTTACATTTATTAATACATGATTTTGGTTACTAATACTTTTTATTAACTATTAGTTAAAATAATAAAATGTTCATATTTTCATTTTGCAAAGAAGATATTATTACTGCATTTTCATAATATAATATTTTACTACAATAATAAATTAAAGGGAGATTTGCATTTTTACTTCGATAACTTGCCGGTGTGACTGTTATTAGTCTTTGTAATTTAAAGATTTTCCGGCAAAAAATAACTTAATAAGATGCTGATAACGACAACTTTTCCGATTTACTTTTTATGGGGAAGTATACTTTTCGGGGGAAATTCCTTAATTTGCAAATATTTACACCCTCAGCCCGCCAACATTGTCCCATTTTTTTCAAAATCTCACTAAGATTGTATTATGCCAAATTTGGTAAAGTTTGTGTGACTCTAAATCATTCTTACTTTATTCTTACTTTATCAATTCAATGTCAACTACATAAATTTACTTTTTTTAATAACTATGTCGCCTTTTAATGTCTCAATGTTAGTGAGACGACGGTAATGTTAGTTAGTAGCTAAAGGATCAAGTTTAAAAATGACTACAATTACAACATTAAAATGGCAAATTTCTTTAAATAAAATGTTCTTAAGTGAAGTATATTAATAGTGTAAAAGTCATCAAATGCCCAAATGTCACATTTATCTATCTTGTCTTCAGTTGTCTTGATGGATTTGGGTTTAATATATGAGTTACTATATGAGATTCCAAAAAAAGTTACTATATGAGTATATTTGTTTTATTTTACTTTCCTGAAGTGATTTATTTTTAAAACAAGGAATTTGGAAATGTAAACTTTTTTTAATAGAAAAATTAAAACAATTGTCAAACACCCCTCTACTAGCTCCCAACTTATTCATTTATATCGCTCAATTAAAGTAGCAATACATGTTTGAAGATATTACTTTTAACTCTTTTAAAACTAAAAGTAGAGAATCACTTTTTAAGCAATATAAAACACTACTTATATCAAATTGATAGTCCCTCCATCCCTTAGAGAACTTCATGTATTCCTTTTTTTGACGTTTCAATTCTACATAAACTTCTATTTTCTTATTTGGTAAATAAGTTTTAATCAATTTACTCTACTATCCTAAAGTAATTAATAATGATTGTATATTTCAAACAATGTTAATATAATGTACTAAACACTACTCCAGCATAGTACTATATTATTTATCAAGTCAATGGCATTTCATGAAGACAAAAACGTATATGTAGATTTTCTTATGGTGAGTACTATTCAAATTAAGATTTTCTTTAAGAAATGGAGAAAGTATATATAGCTTACGTACAATGAAACCTTCGAAGATTCTATATGCATTTTTCTCCCTATCATATTGGGTATTGTGATCAAGAACATGTAGAGTTTGAATGTTGAATTTTGCAGGGCTCTTGAATAGGACTTCAATTATTTTGGAACATAGGGTAAGAGAAACTCCTTGCCGCCACCTTTTATGCTACACATATTCATACCCATATTAAACACCTCGGGCGGGCATTATGACATCTTCTTGCGATTATTTAGAGAAAAAATAATTTTAAAAAAATATTATTCATTATTTCATTCGTTAGTAGGGTATCAAATAATTCAAATGCATTAATATATATAATTTCAATAGTTGATGCATCTTTTATGCAAAGATTTGCAAGTGATAAATTTAAAAATAATAAACATACAAATAATAATATACTTCCTCCGTTCTTAAATAAGTGCAACAGTCAACATTTCACACTTGACGAGGCACAACTTTGACCGTTAATATATATAATTCTCTATTAGTAAAAAATTTTAAAAAATAAATTTTTGAAAATTTACTATGAGACAAACTAAATAATATTTTTTTAAAAAATATATATCAATACATCAATAAATAAAATGTAGTCAAAATAGAACATGTGAATAATGTAAAATCTAACATGTTGCACTTATTTAAGAACGGAGGTAATATATAATAGACAAAATTTTCAATTAGGACATAAGTGTAAACAAGGATCCTGACTTCATACGAAATGTCTTTGTAACCACCAATTAAGTGCACCTGCATATGAATCATGTTCTTTTAGCTACATTAATTAGAAACTTTTAATCGAGAAAGCTAAATTGTTTCCTAGCTTAATCAGGATGTTAAAAGCAAATAGTGACATATACTCTCACACCGTTAAGAATCTGTTTCGAGATTTCATGCTAAAAATGTGATATAGTGATTTACGTAGTATTACTTTATATCAATCCAATAGACATAAATGCATCAACATGTCCCAGAGTCCCAACCGGATTGACTATATTAGGATGTATAAATTAGCCAAACAAATCCTTAACAGCTACTCTTAATCGGTAGTGCTAAATTAAAATTAGAGATTTCATTCTAAAATATCAATAGAGGAGCCTGACAGATTTGCAATTTTAATCCTGTAACTTTCGGCTCTTATCGTTTTTGGTCTTGTAACTTTAAGCACTAGCAAATTTGATCGTGTAACTAATAAATCTTTGTAATTTAAGGACTTTCCCACCGAAAAGTACACTTTCCGGCGGAAAAGTTCGACGCCGGCGACATCTTTTCCGTAATGCTATTGCCGGAAAGTGTACTTTTCAGGAGAAAAGTCCTTAAATCGCAAATATTAATTCGTTAGAGGACCAAATTTGCATGTGACTAAAGTTACGGGACTAATAATGATAACGGTCGAAAGTTACGGGATGAATATTGTAAATTTTCCTCATTTGTATGTATTGATTTTCCATCGTTTCGGCACATTGTCTAAAAAATTGAAATTGCCTTTTTCTGATTTATTTAATAACAATAAAAATATATGGAACACACGTTTATTAGTAAAAGAGAAATGTAAAAAAATTTAGATTGATGAAACATGAATGTATAAATTTATCAAGGAATGTGTAAATATAGTTGTATGCAATAAACAAATTTAGGATCAAAGAATAATACATCATAACTAGCATTGGAGTCCTGATTAGAAATGGAAGACAACATTTGCCCTAGGCCAGCTTCAACAATATTGGGAATATCTATATGCGCAACAGATATCCTGCAAACCATGTAAAAGATTTAGCTAGTGTATTTATATATAGGTGGAACTAATAAAGTTTTGCTTTGTTTTTCAAATTTACCGAACCATGTGAAGATAGAATACTAATATGATTTAATATTTGCCTTAATATTGTCTAGATAAACTGAAACAAAAAATTTGTGAAGTGTAGTTTATGTCCACAAAATTTCAGTACAAAACTTAATCAAGAAGTTTATTAAATAAGTTATTGAAAAACACTGCGTCAAGGTATATATAAATTTCACTTTATCTGCACATTTTTTTACTAATTTATTTAGCTAACTTAAATTTTAGATGAAATATTATTGATATAATCTACATTTCATGAAAAATATGCTCATAAAGTTTCATAAAAAAAATCCACTCAAAACAACTGAAATTGTCTTTAGTGCACATTGAGTTCCGGTCAGGCCGACTGATAGAATAATATAAGTTCTCGTATAAATAAATAAATAAATAAATAAATAAATAAATAAATAAATAAATAAATTAATATGATTTAGATCTTACTTTCTATTTTTAGGATTTCGAATGATAAGTCCTACGCATGTTGAAAGCCCATCAGTGCCAACCGCCTTTGATATGAAAATTAACAAGAGAATGTTTTGTCAACAACAAAACTTCAAAGCAAATTAAACGAATGATGCTTTATGAATAAAGAAATGCAAAACTTACATCAACTAATGAGGGGTTCACAGTTGCATATTCTTTTTGCATAATATATACCAATTTTGTTTTTTGAATATCACAAAACGAGTGTTCCACTTCTCGGATGCCATTGAATTCACGTGATCTAGATTTCAAGCGACGGTCCATCATTAAGTGCATCAAGATTTGTGTTCCCTACAAAATAATCAGAGTAATTCGAAGGTAGGAAAAGTCTGTATACGTTATAATTAAATTTAAGAATTTCAAAATAAGATCATCATAGTTGTATCAGTTAAATAAGATTAATTACTGTCATGATTTAAGATCACACTTTTTCCTTGAATATTACTAAACTGTAGCCAATTTCCAAAAAATGACAAGTTTTACAAAAGGACAAAAGTGACTAAGAAGGTCATATATTTGAAAAAACATGTCACTGCCAAATTTTATATAACTAACATATTTTTATGTCACTTTTGAATGTCACTATATCAGTAGAACATGTCGCTATGACAATATTTGTTCAATAAAACCACCGCATCCACGGCGACACCGCCATAGTGATACACTGACTCCGACCTCAGTGTCCTCGATTGGTCATGTGACATCTGCCCCGCCTCTTCCACTTACCTCTGTTGCCTTGCATCTGGCCCCAATAACCGCTGCATGTACCTGTCCTGTGCCCCCCCGCCCCATCCCCACCAGCCCCAACAGTGAACCCACCAGGCCCTACCCAGCCCACCAGCCCCAACAGTGAACCCACCAGCCCCTACCCAACCCACTAGCCCCCTTTACAATTGTGGCCTCCGTCCCACCCCTGCCACTACCCCACCCACGTCAATTACCCACTGCCTAGTGACAATTTATACTGTACAATCGGTTGTACATAGAGCATGGCATAACCGGGTTTTTTGTAATTAGATTCAACTTTTAGGGTAACAGTTAGGTTAATCTTTGCTGGAGCATTTCTTTTTCCGCCGCTACTCTTCCGGTTGTTGGCTTTACTCCTTTTTGCTTTGTTTTCTCTTTCCTTTTTTCGTTGCTTTTCACTTTCTTTGTTTTTCAGTTTTTGGTTGCGTTTCGTTTTTCAATGCTTTAGTTTTTTTCTTTCCTAGTTCTTTCTATTCTTTATTTTTTTCTTTTACGTGCTTTAATTTTTTATTCAATTATTATGCAAATGTATTATATAAAATATCGGTAATGTTTGAGTTTGGTTTTTCTTCTTTTTTCGATCAACCTTCTAACTTAAGTTTTTTTAATTTGTGCATTATAAAATATATTAGTTATTAGTATTTTGTTTTTCTATTTTAAATTTTAAGATGAATATTTTTAGTTTATTGAATAACATGTGTTAATTACTAACATGGGTTTTGTGTTATACTAAAATGAGTATAATGTAAAATAAATGTGCATGAGTAAATATTATAAAAACAATAATATTATATTTGTAATTCAAGAAAAAAAAAGACTCTAATTTTTTTCATAAAACATTTTTATATTTCTCACTGTTATATAAAATGATAGTTTAATCTACTAGATGTACATATCATAGAAAGAAGCTTATGGTATATTTGAATGAATGTAACAATTAAAAGAAATGAGCATACACAAATGAGTATTTAAACACATTAGGGAATTCAAATGCGTTTTTGGATTTTTGGATACTCATTTTGTAAGTTATTTATGCTTATCTTGTATTGGTTTTATGCTCATTTTAAAATGTTATATCAATGCATAATTTAAAACTATCATATTACATTAGTTTCGCATGATAGTTGATTATAGACACGAAAGTAGAGATCATGATACTCAATTGCATGCTTCTAATACTCAATATAGTAACTTTGATGCTAAAATGTATTGATGTTAAACTAGCAAAGCTTATTAATTTCATATACATGCTCATTTTGTAATGCTCATTTTGTAAGATACATATGTGCATTTGGTACTGGTGTTATGCTCATTTTAAAATGTTATATCAATGCTTTTTTCAAACTTATCATATTACATTAGATTCACATATTGGAAATTTTAGGAGATAATTATAGATATAATTTGGATTTATATAATACAAAAAATAAGAAAAACAAGTGAATTAGACGTTATAAAAGCAAAGATCACGATGCTCAATGTTAGCTTCATAATACTCACCATAATAAGTCTGATGCAAATACTAATTCTCATTTCTTATAAACATTATACTCTTTAACGTATAGCACAAAACTCATTTTTAAAATCCACAAATCTAATATATTCATCAAAAGCCAAGTTAATATAATTACTTTCATTTGCTAAATAGATTTAGCCATGAGAAATGTAACAATCTTATTAAATCCTTGTTCTAGAATTACAAACTTTGTTATGCTTATTTTATAATATAATGTTACACTAACGCACATTTATTTTACTCATTAACTCATTTTGGTGTAACAAAAAACACATTCCAATATTGCACATGTAATAATTAAACACATTACACTTTAAATTAATAAAATTAGCTATGAGTACTATTTTTAATAGAAAAATGGAATCAGTGGAAAAGTATATCTCAACAGTTTTACAAGTTCTTTAAACATCAAATTCAATGCATAACAAAACCATATAAAATTTGCTAAAGTTGTAACCATAGAATAAAGTTAGAAAAATTTAATCATCATAACAAAATATTATGAAAAAAGTACCCATATATCAATATTTTATACAAGTTCAACAATATATCAATAAAATACTCGATCTGTCAAAAAATATATTAACGTTCTCTTTCAATTTTTTCAAAGAACAAGTCTTGCATGTTTACATTAGTCACTAAAAAAAACATCTCATATTTACCTCAGGTAAATCACAAGTACCGGTAGGAAAGGATATTTGGTTGATGATCGAGATGTGCATCTATACAATGAGTCAGTTTAGAAAAATCGAAGTATTACTAATGAAACAGGTAGATGGATTTTTAAAACAAATTGTATCTCATATTAAATTTTTGAAATTCACGGGATACAATTTTAGATACTCAATGTAGTTTAAAAATTATAAATATAAAAAGAAAAAAGAAATAAAGAAGAAGGAGGTTTGGGTGGAAGCAAGATGTAGGACACGGTCAATTAAGGGGAAAGAGGATAAGACCAAAGGATTAAAGGGCTGAAAGTTGATGGGAATTACAAGTTTAACCGGCCGGCTGTACGGTGCTCTCCGTCGCGTACAGCCGGTTGTAAGATATGCATACTCTATCCCTTGCAATCGGCCAACCACTTCCCCACCACCGCCCTACCTTATCGGATCAGACCCTATCCAAAAATAAAAGATTTCAGATATGGAAATATAGCCGTCTAGTTGAACGGCGGCGACACGACACAACACTCCTTGAGCTCCAAGTGGTCTTTGTTTTTGGCTTGGGAGGGCATTGAATGGGTTGCGGGCGAGAAGAGCGGAGAAGAGGAAGAGACGAGTTTCAGCATCGGCGCAGATCTGTCACTTTCGCCGAGGTAGGGGTCATTGTCGTCACATGATTGCACCATCTTCTCTGTAGCTGCGCCTCACAGCCGCGATCGATGCCGAAGGTGTGAGAGGTACCGTCTCTGAAGATCTAGCCGTCACTGTGGTTTTGTCGTTTCTGCCGCTGACGACCTGATGCGAGGAGCTTGTTGATAGCCGTCGGGGATGAGATGATGCGAGGAAGTGGTCAGGCGATGAGGAGAGAAGGAAGGTCGGTCATTTCTTTTCTAGAAGGTTATAAGAAAGGGCAGTGCCGATCCTACCAAAACTTGAGCCTGAGTCGAACTTCATAAAAGGCCCTATGCATTATATTTTTTTACTATAATTTTCTTTGAAATTGAAGATTAAACATTATAAAAACATGATTCATTGAGTCAATGCAAGTGTAAAAATTTAAATTTAAAAATCCTTAAAATGAAATATTGTTGAGTAAAATAAGTTTTTAATTCTGGATATTCACTTCAAATTCAACCACAACCTCTGTGGTGGGTTAAATTAGATCATTTACACAATAATAAATGACTTTACTAGTTTGAAAGCTAAACACATAAATGAAGTAAAATCATAAAAGTCTTAACTTATTAGTTATTTGATACGGACTATATGATTATTGATTAATAATCAAATCGATTCTTCACTAACCAATTCTCAATTCTCAAAACTCAAGTTTCTAACACAAAAAATCAGAACACACATAATGACATATTCACATAGCAACTTAATCACAATCACAGAATAAGATAAAATCCTTGATGTTGATCGATTATATCTATAGACCGGAACAAGGGAGTCACAACTTAACCTTAGCTAAGGCTCTGTTGTTGATCGATTCGTCTAAGGCCGGAACAAGGGAATCGCAAATCGCCTTAAGACCCTTCTTCTTCTTCTTCCATTTGTGCGCTGATGGCTATTTCGTTTTTAAACCGGCCGAACAAAGATAATTGGGGGATTTGGGGGTTTTCCTTTTTTAAGTACAACAGCGGACAAAGGTTGTGCAAAGGTCAAAGGAAGCCCAATATGTAAATTTAATACATATACTCCGTATATACTAAAGAAATATCTAAAATTTTGGGCCCTAAAATTTTAACATTTTTTGGGCCCTGATGTAAGTGTCTCATCTGCCTCATGCACGGCACGACCCTGGGAAGGGATTATGTCACTTTTTTGTCAAATTAAAATATGATCATATTTTTGTCTTTTGAAACTTTATAGGTTATATTTTTGCTATTTCTTATTGTAAACCGCACATTGTATATATTTTGTCAAAATAGTCAACCCTGGTATTTTTATTTTAAGGGTTTTGGGAAAATTGGAACTTTGAACTACATATCCAAAAAACCGGGTGCACTGCATTCATTATGAAAAAGTAATCTTCGCACCTCATACATCGTAATTAAGATTTTGAATTAATGGGATCCACACATTAGCTTTATGAAGATGGAAAGGAAAACTCAATATTGCAAAAATATGGAGTATGTAGTCAAATAAATAATTAAATTTATACAAAGTATATAAATATATAATACATACATAAATAAATAAATTTACACTTTATTGGCATCAATAATTTTTTTTTATATTAATTTGATGTTAGCTAGGGAATAGCATGACATTTATTTATTTATTTTAATTTAGTTTTGAATTATTTTAAGTGGGGGTGAATTATTTATCTCAAATTAAGTTTTTAGTATATTTTTAATTAGGTATCTATTTTTAATTGAAGATATGAAATCATGTCGTTATTTTATTTTATAATTATTTATGGAAGATGTAATGCATTTTGAAATAAACGAGTAAACATGAGTTAAGCCCAATTTTTTAAAACATGTTTTAGCACATTTAAATTTGATGATATGAAAGAACCAATAAATGATGTGAAATATGTGACCATTCTTGATAAAAAAGGATAACAACACCCCATCACTGAGGGCCCCCAACCCTGACCGGACGGTACGTTGGAAGGATGTAAATTGGACTATAATCCCAATCTGACAGATAGAGAGTGGGGCCTGTCTCCGATACTTGCAGAGGCCCTATACATTTTTAGCATAGCAACCCCTCATCGCAATTGTCGGATATATATGTGACCATTCTTGATAAGGAATAGGTGATCGTGGTCATTGTGCTTACATGACAGATAAATGACAAAGGAAAGTACTTTTTGGGGAAATAAGTACTTCAGAACTACCATTAATTGAGAAATAAAATTGGAGAGTACCCCTATTTAGGGATGGGTCTGAAAACTGAAAACTAAATCAAATTAAATTGAACCGCAACCAAATAAAACTGAACCGCTAAAAATCCGAAACTGAATGGAAAAAATCAAACCAAATCGTAGTTGTTTGGCCCGGTTTTGGCGTTTACCCTACAAAACCGAACCGAACCGAACAAAACGAACTAATTAAAATATGAAATTTATGTTAGGATTAATCCTAATATCATCAATAGTCTTTGGTTTTCTTGTACTAGAGAAATAATGTTTGTGTTATGTTTAGTTAGTTTATAAATTTGTTTAGTATACACATTCATTGCCTATAATAATGTAGCTATATTGATCTATGACGTAATTAGTATGTATGTTGCAATTTGTTTGAATAGTGCAGAACTATGAAATAAATTAGTAAATTTATTTAGTATACACATTCATTACGATGATGATATGTTTTTACTGGTGTGTGGATAGTGCAGAACTATGTTTGATCCCTCTAACTATTATATCAATTTTAAATCAAATGATAATTTTTTGGTAAAAACCGAAAAAACCCCGAAATCGAACTGAAACAAACTGAACCAATCAAACCGTGGTTCCAAATTTTGCAGTGTAAAATCGAACCGAAACCGAACCGAACTTTTTACTTTAGTTCTAGATTTGGTTTTAGGTGAAAACCGAACCCACCCCTACCCCTATTTGGGTAAAACTCTTCTATATATTTACTTTGTAACATTTAAATTTTGATATGTATCAGCATTGAATTTTTACAATGAGATATATAAATTCTACTATTTTTTTTTAATTTATTGAGAATAACTAAATATTCATCTCAAAGTGTAGTAGTTTACCTCATAGGACATATATATATCTCATGATTAAATACTAAAATTATTCCAAAGTAAACTTTGTACTTTGCTTTCGTATTTTATTTTGGGTCAGAATCTAACAATTGAAAAACTGAACTCACCTCTAAAAGTATCCTATGGAGTTGGACACACTTAGCCATTTAGCTAGCCATAGAATTATGTGATTTGTTTTCAGACAAATTGTGTTGAAAGTACCATGTTTAGTTGTTGGAAAACAAACCACAATCCTAGAGTTCTAATTTCTAAACACGTCTACCCATACAATGCTTTTAAATTATTTAACTTTAATTTCTGTAATTTATCTATAGCAAAATGTGTAATAAATTTGTTGTGAATTTTTTTTCAAAAATATTCTTATACCAGACAACTCATACTATACCAATTGATCCTTCTGAGTTTTGATTACCTCATTGCTTGCCTACAACTTTTGAGACCTAAAACTACACTTGGATGTTATATAAATTACTTATTCATGTTGTATACTTGTATCTCTATCTTTTACGTAGTACCGATAACATTAGCTCTAAAAGTATTTAATATTTTCATGATGACAAGTCTTGCATGTTTACATTAGTCACTAAAATAAATAAAAAAACATCTCATATTTACCTCAGGTAAATCACAAGTACCGGTAGGAAAGGATATTTTGTTGATGATCACCATATATTGACGAGTGTAAGAGCAACTAAAGATAATTTTGAGAATTTCGATTGGTCTGAGTCAGAGTTAAAGCTTTAATGTCTAATTTGATGGATGTAGCATGTGATGGTATGTTCTACCTCCATCACAATATATAAGTCTATGAAGCTTCAATAATTAAGGTTATTTGAAAGGGAATATTCTTAAATTTTAATGTCGTACTTGGTACTTAATTACTAATGACTAACTTTTATGGAAGTATATTAAGAAATTAAATAACAATTTTTAATGAACACCAAGTATTAAATTTGAATTATATAACTAAAAAAATATTTATATTCTTGATGATTGTGCAGCATTTTTACTCGTAAATGAACAATAGTTGCCTTTATTGTGTTGAAAAGAAAAGAATGAATTCTTTGTTCAAATATTTGCCTTTATTTGAAATAGCGTAAAACTAAAGAGATGCCCTTATAAGTAATTATTATGTTATAAAAATAATATATTATTGTGTACCAAATGGGACAAACAAATACGCAGTTATCAAGTAAGTATAAAATTTTGGACTCATTCTTAAAAAAACAAACCTTGATTCAAACAATACGTCAAAGATACCTTAAAACATCTTGTTATCATCATATACGGAATTGCTAAACGTGGCCAATTCCACAGGGTACGATATCTATATAAGGAATAGAAATTACTCTAAATATGACTAAAACTATAGCAAAAATTCAAAATAGGACTTACTATATTTTTCTTTTCAAAATAGGACCAAATTAGACCTATTGGAAACATACCTATTTTTTTCTTCCATTCTTACCCTTCCTTTAATTATGAGTTAATTAAATGTTTAATTCATAATAAATTCGAAACAAAATCAAAAATTCATAGAAAAATGATTAAAAAATTTATAAAATATTTATAAAATAAAAAAATAAAAAAACATAATTTTTTTAATTTTTTTAAAAAATTAATAAAAAATAGTTAAACTCCATAAAAAAATTAAAAAATATATGGATGCCTTTCCCACCGCCTGTACTACCTCCCTGCACCACCATCTCCGGACGGTGAAAAAGATGCTATTTTTCCTAAAAACTGCCATTTTTTCCTGAAAATGCCAAAAACATGACATATTTCTCTTTGAGAATGCCAACATTTTCATTGTTTTCTGCCATAAATATGGCATTCATAATGAACTTCGCATTTTTTTTCCGGTGACTAGAGGTGGTGGTGCAAAGGCGGCAGAGGCGGCGGTGAATTTTATTTAATTTTTTTTAATTTTTTTAATTTTATTTTTTAAAATAAATTAATTAATTATCATTATCGAAATATTTTTATTAGTTTTTTTAGTAATTTTTACAATTTTTTTTATTTTTTTTATTTTTTATCATGAATTAAAACATTTCAATAGCTATAAGGGTATATTTGTCCAAGACACACATAATTAGTCCTATGAAAACATAATTTAGTTTTTGGTCCTATTTGTGCAAAGTGGGTGACTTTTAGTCCTATTTTGATAATTAACCCTATAAGGAATGGCTAAACGTGTCCGGCCAATTCCATAGTACGTATAACCTTAATAGTCGGTTTGGTAGTTTATATACTCCCTCCAGTCCGTATTAAAGTTCTCACATTCCTTTTTGGGATGTCCCTTATTTAAGTTCACACTTCCATTGTAGGAAACAAAATAGTGCAAAACAGTGCCAAACAGTGTCAAACAGTGTCCAAACAGTACATTGAACTCCACAGTAAAGTCAAATTTATTTTCTTAATCTGTGTGAAGTCAAACTGGGAACTTTAACAGGGACCGGAGGGAGTATTAAAAATTCACATGCAAAGTGAGTGAAGGTAAAGTTTAGGACCGTAAAATAGATTTCATGTAAAATAGAAATACAACGTTTGACCATGTGCGTAACCTATAATTATATTACATGTAAACTCTTTACACAGGGCCGGTCCTGACAATTTATAGGCAGGGGCGGAGCTACTGTCAAGGGTAAGGGGGGCATTGCCACCCCCTTTTTTTAATAAAAATACTAATATTACAATTTTTTGCCCCACCCCCCACTCAATGAATTGTGAAGCCCAACTGGGAGTAAAAACTAAAGATGCAAACCGTACTCCTTAAATAATATTAGGCCCAATTAGAAATTGGCCCAGAGAAGTTTTGTGCGCAGGGGCTTATACAGTATACTCCGTATGTGCGCA